TTGCAAAACGTTGTATATGTGTGTATGTGATGGTTCTCATTTTTACGATCTTAATTTTTGAGTTTTCTTTTGACCATTACACTTTTGAGGATACTTTTGTCATTTATTGGAGTGACTTGTTTGAGAACTCTGGCTTCAATTTCACATAATTGAATAATGTATCATAAGACATAAATGAAAAGTTATACTACCAATATTATTTATTTAATATATTATGACAACCAAGTCAACTCCAAAATTGAGTTATTTAGATCGGTACCAACTCAAAATCAGGCTGTAGCTCATTATGTTTGATTTTATTTAACATCCTATATAATTTTTATAAATGAAAAATACTTAAAGTTAATATCGAAGTCTACTACAATAAGGATAATGCCTGTAATGATGAGGTTATATTTATTCTCTAATAAATAAAAGCGATTTACCTTAAGATATGTAATCTTAAATAATAATTTTATTTGGAAGAAATTATTAAGTGGAGTATTCTTATTATGAGCGTATATGTCCCCTTCAATAGAAATTCTATGGTTGGTTTTGTTGTTGCTATTTCGGTGCTCTCCGAATCATTCTCGCTGCTCGCAATAGGTCCCGCCGCCAACGCAGTATCTTCGTCGTCCAGGACGACGAAGGTACTCCTTTGGCGCCGGGACCTATTGTGAGCTTAGTGAGGACGATTCCGCCATCGAATTCTTCCTCCCACTCCTTGATTAGCTAGGATGATTCGGATAGCACCAGAATAACAAGAACAAATCTAACCATAAAATTTTTATTGAAGGGGATATGTACGCTCATATTAAGAATATTGCACCTATTAATTTCTCCGCAAATAAAATAATTATTTAATATTACTTATTTTAAGACAAATAACTTTTATTTATTTGAGAATAAATATATCCTCATCATTAGAGACATTATAATGCGTATTGTAATAGACTTCAAAATTAGGTTTAAGTATTTTTTATTTATAAAAATTATATATACTGATAAATAAAATCAAATATAATGAGTTACAAGCTCATTTTGAGCTAGAACATATCCAAATAACTCAATTTTGGGGTTGACTTGATTGTCATAATATATTAAATAAAAAATATTGGTACTTTAACTTTTCATTAATATCTTATGATACATTATTCCATAATGCAAAATTGTAGCCAAGAGTTCTCAAACAAGCCACTTCAAGGAATGACAAAAATATCCTCAAAAGTGTAATGGTCAAAAGAAAACTCAAAAATTAAGATGAAAATTAGAACCATCACGTATACATATATGTAACGTTTTGCAAAGGCGATAAGGTGAGTCAATGAAAAAAATTGATCACGCAATATGATATAATATAATATGGCAAAAGTAATTAAGAAAATATTAGCTTAAGGCATAGGCTATTTACTTACTGATAAGACGAGAGAATAAAATTAGATGGAGGAGGGATGTAAAAGACGAGAGAAGTAAATTGAAATTCCTTAGTTGAACCAAAGTAGACATTGGAAATTATGATAGGTATAAAAGATTTACGAGTGTTGAGGCATAGACTATTTACTTACTGATAAGAAAACTTGATACTAGAGTGATACATTATATAGGGCTTTTAAATCATTTGGAAAAAAACAAATTAAATCCTGGGGTGGTTGGGGGGGTTAAGAAAACTCACAAGACATCACTTTTGTGTGTTGTTAGTTGTCATTGTTGTTATGGTATCATTGATTCCCAATGTTCAATGAGATTTATTATGAACATCATCTTGTATAGAATTTGGTTTAGACTCTTTTGATGTTAGATTTCAAGAAAATGATGCTCACTCATGGAGAACGCAATGACTACTTTTGGTTGAGTTGTACTGAAGCCTAAAAGGACAAATTATCTTCTGTCGAGATATGATGGTGTTAGCCTCTTTTATGAGAAAGAACTATAACCTATAAGAGGATAAAATTTCGACAAGTTTTTCGGTGATTAAGAACTATTTCTTAACATAAAATACAAGTTTTCAATTATTAAAAAAATGACTAACTGTAGTGATCACTCGCGTGCACGTGTTTGTGCACGTTGATGTGGGCTCTCGTCACTATGTACATGTGTATGCCAATTGCTGCAAGCCCGCACATGGCCACCGCTACATGTGCACGCACTCACGCCAGTCATTCCAAGAACACGTGTGTGTGTGCATGCATTCACCTGTGTCAGGGATCACAACCACCGATACATGTGCACCTGTCATTGTTCTTCTAATATTGTCCGGCACTGCAAGAATTCACCAGTTCTCATTCTGTTTGACAATATAAATTGAAGAATGACTGAAATTATGATAGAAGAGACATTAATTGGTTCATGAGCTTGAAGAGAAGTCTACGTTGATGTCCAAGAACAATCATGCCTTATAATATTTCTGAAAATTATAGTAATATGCTTCAATCTTTTGAAAATATAATATATTTTTTTCAAATGATATTCATCGAGAGTCGAAAAAAATGTGAAGTAAATCCGACAATTTCTTAAATTCGAATTTCTCTTCTTCGATAATTTTTTTGAGGTAAATCTGGAGTGTTTGGTGAGGTACTTTTAAGTTTTAACGGGATTTAAATATGGATTTAACTTATGTCCACAAAATGTCATATGTCAAAAAAGATAGATATAATTTTTGTTTGTTCAGCTTGTTAAATTTGGATTTATTAAATGGATATAGCTTGGAAAAAAATTATTTCAAATAGAGATATGCCGAACACATCAAATGAATTTAATCTTAAGTGAACCAAATTTATTCCGGTTTGAATAATATTTAGATTTGAATGAGTTTAATCTTAATTGAACCAAATTTATTTTGGATTTAATACATTTGGATTTCATAAATCTAGATTTTCGGGTTTACTAAAAAATGTATAACTTAAATCCTACATGTAGTCGTACACCCTCTTATTTTTAGGTGAATTTAACGGGTTTAATACACAAGAAAATTAAATTATGATAAAATACCAAACATAAGAAATGAGTTTAAATGAATTTAGTTAAAATCATACCAAATATCTTGTACCTTTTTATAACCGGGACAAGACATTTTAGTTTTGCAAAATCATTTGATTTGTATGCTCTTCAACAATTTTTGAATGGGGGGCAGAGGGAATGCCCTCATGATATCATGACTGCTTTGGATATTGTCCTCAGGAAGCCTTCCTCCAAAAAGTATTAAAACAATTCCAGCTATTTTTTATGTTTCTTTTGATGCATTTTATAAAATAATTAAACTGTCTGGTTTTCTTCTTACAGTTACGTTACAATTTCAAGATCACTTTTTCCACCTTAATTTGGGTCGAATGATGTTGGTGAGGGTTTAGAATGTTGGATGGGTTTTTCCAAAGTTTTAGGCCAACCAAATGGGTTTGTCCTTTAATGTTGGTAATGATTATTATTATTTTTTCCATTTAGGATTTATTTAAGCTATATCTTCTAAATGCTTGGTTTGTCTGAAATGCGCTAAATTCATTTTGTCTGATATGTGTGACCATTGCTTTGGTTTTGTAGATATTCTGCAACATCTTTCTTTAGGCTAATAAATCTTTTAAATTTGTGTCTGACTTTTTTACTGTAAGACCGGTTCCTAAAAGCAACGTCTTCTGATATTTGCTTCTGTTTTGATTTGAAACATTCTTCTTTCATATTTGAGTCATATGCTCTTTTTTTAATCCAAATTGCACATGTTTTTTCTCTTCTTCCTAATATCAAGTCATATGTGAATAATGTTCCTATGCAAAATATTTTGGCTTTATCTTAGTTATTTACTTTAGGTAAGTTGTACGACTCCTTTGAAACTTTCAGATACAAACGACGAAGAAAGGAGTCTGTGGAAACAACTCATTTATTAAATGTGTGTAGACGCTATAAAATCACTAGGATTACATCACAGTTTGCTAACAAGTTGATGTATGTTGTTTTCTTTTATGATTTTTTTGTAGTACAAAAATGTTACAAATTTTCATTCTATCGAGCTCTCTCTAGTCAATTGTTTTCTTCAACAGGTTTCATCTTGATGAACCAGTGAAAACTGAAATATCTATTGCACGTTACTTCAAAACTAAATACAATTATAATCTTATGTATGATTCACTACGTTGCATTAAAACCGACAGTGATAGCAATCCAAAGTACTTGACAATGGAGGATTTTCTTGACAACAATATTAATAATTTTCTTTCTTCAAATGCATTGCTTTTAAGCTTAAGCAATTTGTTGTTCAGCTTTGACCCTGCAGCTCTCATTTTAAATAGGTATGCAAAGTTGTGGATGGACAGAGATATGTTAAGAAGTTAACGCTAGACAAGTAAATGAAATATTAAATTCAAATTGTAAGCATCCAACTACAAGGGAGGAGCATTCTGGAGGTTACATCTTGTGATTTTAAATCTGCTGTAGAGCTTTATTTTGTCTTTGCATTTTAGTTTAATGGGTTGTTCCTACAATTTGTTATGGTGAAATCTTGATTGCTTTTGCGGCTGGTCAAGAAAAATAGTTAACAATGATATGTTTGCAAAAAACTTTGGTATTGAAGTTCAACCTAATCTGACTACAGTTGAAGCACGAGTGCTAAGCTCCATGGTCTTTGGCCATCATTTTTTGGACCTTGAAACAAAACTCAGATGATGCACGTATTTTGCTAAATTGTATGTTCTTTTTTTGCCAAAACCTTGTAGGATATTTATTTTGTTCTTGTGGTATGAAATGACTTTTTGGTGGTATTTTATTGCCTTTCCAAGATGATTTTGTTAGAATCCAGAACATAGTGGGCAGCTTTTCTCTTATACATATATAAGTTTACTCAACTGTACATTCCTACTTACTATCATTGTTATAACTTCATTTTCCATTGAAAGAACTGGTATTGACATTTTGTTACTCTAGATTTTACTTGTTGTGCAGCCTCTTACATATTTGATCGCATAAATGTAAACATATGCTTCTATATTGTTCGAACAGCGTTAATGTAATATCTTCTGTATTACTTCTTTCTACAGGCTGGTCATGGTGTGAAGCTTTTGAGCATTCTTACAAAATATTGTGAAGGTAATGGTGATTTTTTTTTTATTTTGAAATTTATTAGGCTTGCTATGAAAAAAGACGACTCTTATTGATCTAATCATAAGTCATGCAATGTTTCATGCATGCCTTTCGCGATATAATGAACTATTTGGGAGCTTGAATGTGTAAATACCATCAAACTGGGATTTCAGTGCATGCCATCATAAGTCATTCAATCATAAGTCATGCAATGTTTCACGCAGTGTGGACACATCTTAGAAAGGCTAACCATCAAAATGGGATTTCAGTGCATTGCAATGTAATTATCTGATTTATAAAGATCTCTTTTAAGTCATAGTGGTTTTGTTAGAACGCTACTTACTAAATTAGATTATTTTCACAGATGCGTATCTCAGAACTTTATATGTGGTTTTACATGTCACATTAAAGCCAAGAAACTTTTAAGATGGGAACCATAAAATATATTTAACATTTATTGTATCCTATTTCTCATGTTATTTCATTTAAATAGTTTTTAACATCTCGTAAGAGGATTCATATAAGCCAAAATAATTTATCAATTTCGGCATATTATTGGGGACTTTATCTAGAAAATAAGATAGGAATGTAGAGATAAAGCCTTAGAGAAGAATAACATATGAGAGTTGGTGATCGGTTTTACATATAAAGCTTTGTGTATGACTTTTTGACTGTAAGATCGGTTCCTACAAGTTTATCTGAAAAGCAACGCTTCAGATATTTGCTTCTGTTTTGATTTGAGACATTCTTCTTTCATATTTGAGTCATATGCTCTCTTTTTTTATCCAATTGCACATGTTTTTTTCTTTTTTTTGCTGATATCAAGTCATATGCAAAATATTTTGGCTTTATCTTAGTTATTTACTTAAGGTAAGATGTATGACTTCTTTGAAACTTTCAGATACAAACGACGTTGAAAGGAGTCTGTGTGGAAAGAACTCATTTATTAAATGTGTATAGACGCTATAAAATCACTAGGATTACATCACAGTTTGCTAACGAGTTGATGTATGTTATTTTCTTTTATGATTTTTTTGTTGAATTTTGGCTCCTACAAAAATGTTACAAATTTTCATTCTATCGAGCTCTCTCTAGTCAATTGTTTTCTTCAACAGGTTTCATCTTGATGAACCAGAGAAAACTGAAATATCTATTGCATGTTACTTCAAAACAAAATACAATTATAATCATATGCATGATTCACTACGTTGCATTAATGCTGGCAGTGATAGTAATTCAAAGTACTTGCCAGTGGAGGTTTTTCTTGACAACAATATTAATAATTTTCTTTCTTTAAATGCATTGCTTTTAAGCTTAAGCAATTTGTTGTTCAGCTTTGACCCTGCAGCTCTCAGTTTTAATAGGTATGCAAAGTTGTGGATGGACAGAGATGATAAGCCACATGATGCTAACAAAGTCGATGAGATCATACTTTATTCATTAAGCATTTATATACTTCACAGGAATCACTATCCTCTATATGTTAACAATACATTTGCAATAGAGAACAATGAACACAAATTTTTGGTTGGTAGCAGCCTTTATCATCTTAAAATCCTATTTCTCCTTGGATTTTCCTTAAATCACGAATTTAGTAAATTCCATTGGAAGATGTAGTTATCGGAATTAGCGGTGCGGAAGCACACAAAGCGAGATGGGAGGAAGGAAAAGGAAAATGAGGGCTTGTGGGGTAGGCGCGGAGTGGAAAGGGCAGTCATATGAGAGTTTCAGAGATCTTTGTATGTCACAATCCGGTCATTGTTTTCCTAGCTAGCTCCAGTTCTACCATACCACGAGGTTTTTAAACTTGAGATGGGTGAAACGTGGTAGGTGAGGTTTGCGAGCAGGATATTTTTTAGAATTTAATATAATTTTAATTAAGTTAATTTTAGATAATTTAATTGAATTTTAATATTTATAAATGTATTAACAAATTAACTGTAATTATATAAATCTTTGTGTAATTATTTCATAATAGTAATTAAATTACATATTAAATTTAATTAAGTATTAATTATTTGAATAAATAACTAATCAATGATTAATTAATGAATAGGAATATTTCTTCGCAAATAGTTAGTTTAATAAATTCTTATTAATGATTAATCAATTAAGTAAATAGTTAATTATTTATCAACATAAGTAGAAATAAAAATTTTAACTGATAGAAATTAAATAATTATTTAACTATACTTAGTAATAACATGACTAATATGTAATATTAAATTCATATTTCAACTGACATACTTAAATTCTAAAATAAGTTACACAATTTCACATGATTTAACTGAATTAAACATTTGTCATGCCCCACACAATTTTCAAGATTTAAACACCTAAGGATTTACGAAATCTGGATTTTTAGGATTTGTTAAATCCTACATTTGATTAGTTGCAAGGAATAAATATATTTATTCACCATATTGAGCTGAAGTGTTGGATCCTATTGATTAATTGCAAGGAAGGAATTTAAAATCCTTTGGATTCATGTTAAAGAAAGAAATTAGGATCCCACGGATTCATGCTGAAGCAAGAAAATTAGGATTAGTATCTTGCTGCACGAATCTTTAGATTTAAAATTTGATTATTTATCTTCAAAGTAGGAGGGTTTTTAGTAAAAAATGTCTGAAAGCCACTACTTTTTGTGGCCAATTTAATTAATATTTTTTTATATAGTTAAATCTATGCCTAGATATTCCAAACTTCTTCATTATGTGATTTGATGTATGCCTCGTTTTATCTATTTTTGGTTGGTTTATGCTAAATGTTGCCTAAGAGCATTATCACTCAACATAAATGATGCATGCAATATTGCCGCTAGTTGATTTGAACATGGTTTGAAGACACCTGCAGAGTTCTCTTATAAAATTTTCATGCGGTTGGAAGCATTGTTAAGTGTCTTTCATCTTTGCATGAATCTAAATGCTAGATTTTTCTCCTACAATTTCCTCATTTTCAGCTGCATCCATCTCTTCCCTGCCTCCATGGCATCCCGTGCAGCAACCCCCACCCTTCCCCAACCTTCCTGCCTCACTCCTAGCCGTCGATCCTCATTGTCGCCGTCAAAACAACAAACTTGTTGATTTACTGTTATCCAACCATCATTCTGATTTGTTTTCGCCTGAATTGCAACCTATCATGCTGTGACTGCAGTCACCGCTTGCTGCCCTTGCACCGGACAACACTCTTGCTGTCTTCCCCTTTGCTGCTCCTCACTGTTCCAGGCCTCCATTTTGCTGCCAACACAATTCCAGCCCCTCCTTTTGCTGTCCCAACAACCCACAACCCATTTCAGAGGCTTCCCTTCGCTTGTGGATTACCTAGCAGACCTCCACCCATGGATCGAGCTCGAGTGTGAGTTTATATTGTGTTTGTTGTAGAACAACCCTTTGTTTGATAGTGTTCGGTTCATTTTAGTTGGAGATAAAAAATTTTATATATTATTTATATAATAATATATTATATATATTTATATCTAAATTTAAATAGCCACGGCTCGTGCGGTCATGCAGTTTTGTACCTTCTAATGCATATGAATGGTACAGGTTTGAATTTAGCATCTTATGCTATTTTAAAATTTAATTTAAAGGAGCCAGTACGAGCAGAACATGAGTTAAAAATGAACATGAAAATTTTTTTCGTTGAGCATGAACGGTTTGTTTGCGAACCATTTCAACACAAATCAATTCCGAACCAAAAAAATATAAACAAGGCATACATGAATACATGTTGAGCTTGCTCAAACTAGCCTCGTTTACATCCCTTCCCCAACCTTCTTGCATCACTCCTAGTCGCCGATCTTCATTGTCGCCATCAAAAAAACAACAAACTTGTTGATTTACTGCTGTCCAACCATCATTCTGATTTGTTTTCGCTTGAATTGAAACCTATCATGCTGTGATTGTAGTCACCGCTTGCTGCCCCTGCACCGGACAACACTCTTACTGTCTTCTCCTTTGCTGCTCCTCACTGTTCCAGCCCTCCACTTCGCTGCCAACACAATTTCAGCCCCTCCTTTTGCTGTCCCAACAACCCACAACCCATTTAGATGCTTCCCTCCACTCCCGGATCACCTAGCAGACCTCCACCTATGGATCGAGCTTGAGTGTGAGTTTGTGTTGTTTGTTGTAGAACAACCCTTTGTTTGATAATGTTTGGCTCATTTTAGTTAGAGATAAAAAAATTATATATATTGTTTGTATAATAATATATTATATATATTTATATCTAAATTCAAATAACCACGGTTCGTGCAGTCATGTAGTTTTGCACTGTCTAATGCATAGGAGTGGGACAAGTTCGAATTTAGCACCTTATGCTTATGCATAGGAGTGGGACAAGTTCGAATTTAACCACGGTTCATGCGGTCATGTACGCATATGCACAATTTTTTGTTATTTTAAGAAAGAGAAAAGTAAAAATTTAGACCACTTCATGCACAACAATTATCATATTTTTAGCATGAACTTATTCTATGATTCTCTTAAATTTTGAATAAGAATATAGTTTTCCTCCAATATCATTCAAGCATTATTTGAACATAATGCACGAAATATGTCCCAACTGTTTTGTTTTGCCTTTAAATAACCATCATTTTTTCATCTCTTTTAATAAGCGGAGCCTGAGGGATCAAATCTCTTTTAATAAGATGATATCCACTATTAAAAATACTACTGCAAAACATAGATAAGGTGTCAATAACAACCACCATAAAAGAAACCAGACATCCAAATTATTCCTTGCATACATTTACAAAGATTTGGCAAAAATATCCACAAAGTTTTCACCTTGTCTGATATAGTTTTGATTCTTGTGAGCTCTTGCATCAGCTCTTCAAAGAAATAGCATCGAAGCAAGTATTAGACTAAGCACTATATCTACTAGTTCTAATAAGTTTTTTCACATGATTTATGCAAGTCCTCAAATCTTAAATTAGTAAATCTGACAAACTCTCTAAGGGCATGTAATCACAGATCAACCAAAATATCAAAAGGGTCACGCCGCTAAGTCATCTGAAAGCCAAACAACAGTGTACTCTTCAAATCAAAGTCCGTATTAAATCTGTAAATTCGTAGGAATCAGGTAGTATCTTTGTAAATTTCTTTGTGCTTGATAAATCCTTGAATAATTGCAAATCAATTTCAATACTATACCCACATAAATCATTCATATTTACGAATGGTTAAGCTAAACAATGTATTCCAACCTCTGTATGCTTAATTTAGAAGTAAAACTAATTTAGTTGTAGCTTTTACAAACATGATTTTTGACCCCACCTCGGATACACATACCTTCATACCAGTTTCTCTTCAAAAGTATGGGAAGCGCATAACAAATGTATGTGTCATGAAGGAATAAAAAAATATTAGGATCTGAGGGGCAACACCATAAAATAGCATATTTACTTCACCTCCCTAAAAAAAGATTTCCTTTATAATATCTTAAAGTTTCTCTACAATTGTTAAATGAAATAAACTATATTAACATTGTATCAAGCACAGCAAACGGAAGAAAATTTGTAAATCAACCAAGTGAAGGGAGGAGAAAAAGATCTCATTAACACAACAAATGTATGCTGAAATATAAAATTCTCAAGTAAACTTTCCTTCCTCTAAATGCTGGGTACTGCTGTTAAAATATACATATGAAGTTGTGGAAGGAAGGAGAATATTAAGAGTCTATATTCATCATTGCATCCAATATGTAACAGTTTCAAGTTTTCAGGAAAGATTAATACATGATCGTCAAATATTGGGTTTTCTCAAAACAATTGAATAATCAGGTTATCTATTTCTTATACAACCAGCTATAGAAATTTCAGGTTTCTAAAGCATAGAATCATCCAAAAGCCTTGATGTATATTTACATTCATAGCATCCCTTTGAAGTATTAAATATGTAAGAGTATGTGAATGATATGCATTATGTAAGCATATAAGAATCAGATTATATGTGACTGCGCAAGCACAGGAGAGCCATATGAGGCGCGAACAAGCACGCGCCCTACAAAAGCTATATTGAAGTAAATATCTGTTATCTCCGCAAGAAAGAATGCTTCCATGAAGCTTTCTGAGAAATCTGATATCTCCGCAGAAGCGAACCGGAAGGAATCTTTGCAGTTTGTTTGAAAAGGTATATATATATATATTTTTATTTTTATTTTATACTCTAAGGTAAAGAACTTTATGAGTATTCTCATTACATATAAGCAGATGTAGAAGGATCCATGGCAATTCATGCGACCAAAGCTTATGATAACTTATCCAATGTTTTCTTATTCAAGGGCTGTTTCTAGCAGTATTGAAGTCTCTGCTCAGAATGTTTAAATCCCTGAAGCCATGACTGCCAGGACACATATGCTGGAGAATCCAATCAAATGCTGAAATTGCTGTTCTCATCTCCCGGCTCTCCTTCATTGGGAGGAATGGCATCCATGTTAGCATCATGCCCTTGGTAACTTAAAGACGAACTTTTCACCTGGTTCTGAGCAGATTTGAAGTTCTAATGACTCAGGCAACTGTTAAACTCATTTTTAGATGTAATACACATTTGTAAATTAAATTTTGTTTTCTATGTCATTAATATCAGGTTAAAAATGATTTAAAAAATAAATGAACATTACTAGGTTATTAACTGTTGAATCATTTTGTTAATGTTTAAATCATTTCTGGTTCGTGAATCAAAATTTTATTACCATTTCTTTGTATTTAATGTAAACAACAAATAAACACGCGATGAAGTGGGATGCGTGAAAAAATTAACATTTAAAATTTGGTGTTAGATATGTAAATATATAAGAATTGAATGGTATTCATGAAAATCTTCCTTTTTTAAACTGAAGATCCTCAAGCAGCAAGTTTGCTTGTATTTAAGTTGCCACAACACTTAGAAAAATTAAATCATGATGGATGAGCATCAATGTTCTCATACTAAGTGGAAATTATATGCCAAAAAAAAAAAATATAAATCTTATTTCATTTGAGTGCACTTAAATACTAATAATGATTTCAGTTATCATTTCATGCGAAATAAATATAAACGTTTTTTTTGTCAACTTACAGAGAGCATAGGCTATAAATTCAATATTAAATCTATCGCTATCAGATTTTGCAAAAGAGAACAATAACTTCCTTCACAATAGAAAACTTTCAAAACATTAGTCATTTTAATATATATTATTTTGACATTAGATAGCCAGTAAAATTTTTTATTTGATGACAATGAAAATTTCAGCAGATGTTCATATTTTCTAGTATCTCAATTTACAATTCTATTATGTGTAAAAAAAAAAAAAAAAAAAAAAAAAAAAAAAAAGCACTGTGGACCTCATGTCATATACAATGACCCCTTAGCCATACTTCTTGGCATATAAAATAGCATTAAAAAAATATTCATCATAAATTCCAATTTCAAAGTGGGTGTGACACGAAAAATCAGCCATAAGAGCTCATCTTCAAGAACATAACAAGTTTATTTGTTGCTTCAAAAAAGCCCATAAGCATCCATTGGAGGATAAGAAACATGTCCATTGGCATTAGAGCCGGGGTATAAGGAAGACAACTATTCCCCAGAGTGGGTTCATCTTCTCGGTCTTTGGATCTTCGGCGAAGCTGTGAAGGGTGAATTGTGATCGTTCGATGCTGAGTATAACGAAGAAGAAAGACCCTGGATTTTGGGCAAGCCGGTTGAGTCCGAATCAAGAGAATAACCATTCTCCATAATGTTCGTCTCGATTGGCTGTTCCTTGAATGTGTGGGATCAAAATAAAGCAAAAAAATATAATATTAAGCAATCTATATTAATGATTCAATTAATTTTTGTTCTTATAAAACAAATTCTTGGCTCAACATATGTGTGTATAGATTCATAAATATAATTATACATAGTATTTATATTCTAAGCAAATTTCGACTCGGTTCAATTTAATCAAAGCTTAGCTCAAAATCAGCCATCAGATTCGACTGAGCGAAAAATTAGGATCTTATAGTTAAAATAATAGACACAATCAATATCGGATCTTATAGTTAAAATAATAGAGCCGAGTAATGATTTTTGAAAAATTACAATCAGATTGAAGTGAAACCTTGTAGACCTGCCACATAACCCTGAGTGTTTCCCTTATTCTTTTTCTCTTGACAACAAAATCATCTGGTTCTCGAAGCATGTCATCAAAAAGATTTTCTATGGTTTAAATAAACAGACTTAAAATTTTCTTAACTTTATTAGAATTAGTCTAAAATCATAAAAGCATAAAGAACAAAACCATGATGACTCTAAGAATGAATTTATTAAGCTAGTAATTAAAAATTATTTTCACAACTACGTGATAAAAATATTATGTGACTCTCTTTTTGTATGATTCACTTAAACATGTGGACATGTCGTTAGTTATTACAAAAAAAATCGCAGATAGCAATGTATATAAGATATATAAAAAGTTCAAAATCAAACTGATAAAAAATAACCATTCAACATCACAAAAACTCAAAATTGTAACACAACGTTCATAGAAGTAAACTTGTATTACAAATTATATAAACATCAATGCAAGGATCTCATTAAAAAAAAAAATGATAAAATGGAAATATAAACGAAAGCCATAAAGTGCTCGAGCCACGGACAACAATTAGTGTAACTAAATATATTGGATTCTTGGCTCAACATAAAGTGCATGACTCATAAAATGCACGAGTCATGGAATTATAAACAGTTGCCGAAAGGACAACAAGCACAAATTTGATGAATTAGGCACAAAAGCAATTACAATCACGAAAAACATGTTTCACTTGCTGGGGAAACTTCTCATTGCTGCATTGAAACTTATGGCTTGGGAAATCTGCAACAAAATCCTTCAAAACCCACCAGAGGAACATACCTATGAAGCACAATTTCTGCAGAAATTTCCTTTCTTTCACTTTAAATTTCAAAATGCATGAAAGAATATAACTAAGAACACAGCCAATGCAGCAAAACAAGCGGCCTGTGAGGTTCGAGAACATTCCCAATACAACAAAATAAATAAATAAAATAGGCGTGAATGATATGCAAGCCAGTAAAGCAAAGTGTTGCGTCTCATCACCTGAATCTCACGTCGGATTTCCCACAAGTCGTAGAACCTCTTCCCGGAAATGTGCAAGAACTCTGCCCACTCCTCCATCTCACCTGCTGGCGCAATCGACTTGCGTGGAAAATGCACCAGTTGCAGCACCAGCGGGCGTCACGTGCAAATATCAGAGCCTTGCGGCAAGAAGTCGCGGTCGAATAGCACCAATACGCTTCACTTGTCGCTGCTCTGGCTCCCCACCACCGCCAACCGCGGCAGGCCGATCGTCAACGAGTTCCCCAGCTGGGCGAAGATGTCTTGCAGCTTGCTCACAATCGGAATCATTGAGCTCTCAATAGGTCCCAGCGCCAACGTAGTATCTTCGTCGTCCCTACAGACGACGTCGGGAACCACGTCTATTGGGACGATGAAAGTACTGTGTAGACACCGAAAACCACATCCTCCACCACCGAATTATTCCTCACACTCCTTTGATCAGAAAAAATATTAACTCACAGAAGTATTGATGCATCATTACTTCAATGATAAAGTATCCCGTAAATATCACGATGGGACCATTGGCTACGTGACATCTCATAATTGAAGTACTGATACATAAATACTCCTGAGATAATATTTTTTTTCTTGATCAAAGAGGATGACTCTGAAACATAAATTTTTTTTTTATTTTATACATTAATTTCATTATTAATAGTTTTTAAATATAAAATGCATGAGTATAAAAATATGAGATATAACGGTACGCCACCTCCCACTCTGCCATCTCCTCTCCCACGATTTATGCGCTCAAACGACTCGTCGCTCTGTGGGTAGTCTGGAAGCGGTCTCGTCCCGACGGTGGGCGATTTGGTGGCCGCGGTCGGTGGGAGACTTGGGGGCCGCGGTGGCGGGTATGAAAGGGATGCGCATCCGTCGTCTCACATGGAGCGTGTTGGTAGAGGACGCGGCAGGGGAGGCCGTGCCCTTCATCATCAGGATAGAGCAAGGGCTTCCGATATACCGGAGGCCTCGTTATCCAGTCTAAGCAGG